GTGCTACCCGGCGAGAGCCCCTCCTTCCGGCCCCACAGCTGAACCCAGGCCAGGTCCCGCTGCTGGCCCGCGCAGCCTGGGGCCCTTCTTTGAGGAAGGAGGGCCGCGTGGATGCCCCATGGGGCCAGGGGCGGCTGTAGTGGCACAGCTTGGCGCTGTGAGCCCAAGGGTGCGGGGTCTCCTGAGACCCACGTCGGGAAGGGCAGACCTGAGCACCCGGGTGTGGGTGGGCTCCCCTGAGGCCGAACAGAACGGGGACTCCCAGAGCCGCAGGGCCCACTGGCTGGCTTCCCTCAGGGGCTCAGGTGTGTCAGGTGATGGCCGACACAAACCAGCAGCAAGGAACGTTCCAGACACTTAGACACTCGGCTCCTCGGCCGCCCCCAGATCAAGGCTGGGGCGCACCTGCTAGCATCTCCTGCGTGAGGCCTCAGGCAGCGCATTCATCACCCCACCCGTCCTACAGGGGGTGGGCACCCAGCCTCCATGCCCAGCCCACCCCAGCCTTGGCCTTGTCTCTCTCACCTCAGAGGTGGCCCTGGCAGGGCCTGTGCCAGCACGAGCCCCTCCCTGACGCAAGACCAGAAGTCGAAGGGACTGACAGGCCTGTCTGTGCTGAGCCTGTGAGTTGCCCCCCAAGACGAATCAGACACCCTGGGAAGACCAGGCTTCAGGTGACTGCAGATCCCACAGCCCGTAGGGCCTCTGCCCCACCCCAGCCCGTTCGGAGGTACGGCCCCCCTCCCCCGACCCAGCGTGGCACGCCTGGTGGCCACCACCAGCATGGGGCTCCTGCCAGATGGCTGCGCACAAGGAGGGCTTGAGGGGAGCTCAGGTGGCCTCGGGGGCCATCAGCCCGTGGCCCAGCCGAGGAGAGCCCCCAAAGCAGGGCCCACCCCATGGTCCTGGGCAGGGAAGCTGGACTCAATGCTCCCTGGGTTGGGGAGCCAGGCCTGCTGATGAGGACAGCAACCCAGAAACGGCGAAGGAGCCCACTCTCTTGGCTGAGAAAGTGGCACTTTATTTCCTTGTTTTGTCCTTCCAGCCAATCCCGGGAGCCAGAGGAGGGAGAGTGCCCCCGGGGGAAGAGGCCAGGGACGTGTTCGTGTCCTGCCTACACCAGGCCCATCCCAGCAGGCCGGCCCGGGCGGGGGCCTCGGCCCAGGCTTGTTGGGGACAAGGTCGTGGAAGCGGGCTCCTCAGCTCTGGGCGGCGGTGGCCTGGCCCACGCAGCCCCAACGAGCTTGGTGTGCAGCCCCACCAGAGGGGTGCTTGGGCCCCTGCCTGGACGCCAGGCTTCTCATGCCCACCCCCTGCAGGGCAGCTGAAGCAAGGGGAGGACAAGCCCTTCCCGGTCACTTGAGACCCCTGCCGCCTCCACCAGGCCCTCACCCCAGGGAGCCCTGGCCCTTTCCCGGCCCGGAGTGCTGTTGTTGGCAAGATGTCCACGTCCTGATCCCCAGACCCGTGGCTGTGTCAGCTCACGGCGACAGGGACTTTGTTATGAATAAGCTGAGGTCCAGCTGGGAGGCCGTCCTGGGTCATCTGGCAGGACAAGGGCTTGGCAAGGGAGGAGGCAGGAGGGCCAGAGACAGAGGCTTGAGGCTGGCTGACAAGACACCGCCGCTGGCCAGCTCTGGGGAGGAGGAAGAGGCCATGGGCCAAGGAACACGGGGGTCTCTGGAAGACGCAGGGGAGATCCCTCCGGGAATCTCTGGGGGTACATGGCCCTGTAGACACTCTGGCTCAGCCCGGCAGGTTTGTGGCTGGCCTGCGAGATCATAAGAGAACAGATGCGTGTTTGGCTTTTTCTGAGCTGGAGTCTCACTCTGTCACCCAGGCGGGATCCTTCCCCCTCAGCCTTCCAAGTAGCCGGAACACAGGCGTGCGTGTGCTCCCACACCCTGCTAGTTTTTGATTTAACGTAGAGATGAGGTCTCGCCAAGTTGCTCGGGCTGGTCTCCAACCTGCGGGCTCAGGCAGGCCACTCGCCTTGACCTCCCAAAGTGCTGGGATGACAGGCTGAGCCACCAAGCTCAACCAGATGTGTGTTTTTAAGCCACTAAGTTAGCAGCCACTTGTCTGGCAGCCGCTTGTCCACCTGGCATGGGGTGGCTGGGCACCCACTAGCTGCCTGCCTTCTCTGCAGGCTGGGGGAGGCGGACCCCTCCCCACCCAGCACCTTCCCCCAGTGGCATGAGCACACCTCCTCCCAGGCAGGGGGCTTCATCCAGGGGCGCCACACTGCCTCCCTTGCCCAGGCACTTGGGGACAGACCCGGACACAGCTGAGGGGGCTGGGGGTGAGCAGCCGACCCCCAGAGGCCGCAGACCCGTCCGGCATGGGGTCTCCGCTCCATCCAGGCCCGGCCCGCAGACTGGGACTGAGGACCTGTCCCCAGAGCGCTGTCTGCCGGCCCTCGGGCCCCCCAGCCCTGCTGCCCCCTCCATCCCTTTAGGAGAAGAGAGGGCTAGGGGGTCATGCTGGGAGGTGCCCCCGCTGCTGTGGGTGGAGGAGATGGGCCAGGTCACGCCTGGAAGCACCCCAGACACTGGGGCCCCATTGTGCGGCTGTTTCAGGAGAAGCGGTGTTGGTCCTGCTCCGGGTCCGAGTCTCGTGACCCTTGGCCTCTCCCTTAACTGTGTCTTCCCTCTGTCCCCATCACCAGAGGGTCCCAGCTGGAAGGGGAGGTCTTTCAGAGCCCACTCCTCCACCAGCTCTGGGCCACTGAGCAGGCGAGGCCGGTGCCCCGGCTGCACGGGGCCTGGAGCCTCCTGAGGGGGCCAGGCGTGGGGCGGTCCAGGCTGGGTGGCCGCCCAGTGTCTGCTGGGGCTGAGGGCTGACCTCGTGCCGGCCTGGCCTCTGCTCACCACCACCCCATGGGTGGCAGCACCTGGCACCCTTGTGTCCCTGAGGAGCGGGGCGCACAGCAAAGACATGGCTCTGGGACCCCAGGGTCTGCACACTGGGCCCACACGCTGGTCCCTGCATGTTCTGCAGTGGCCGGAGTGTCCACATGTGCCCTGGAAACCCCAGGCTCAGGGGCAGGGCCCCCGTGCTCACCCCTCTGGCCCCATACACACTGCCCAGCACCAACCCTGGAGGACCCTCCTGGAGGCTCAGAGCTCCTGCCCACACGAGTGAGTCAGCCGTGTTCCGGGGACCCCAGATGCTGCCAGGTTGGGTGTGGGGCACCAGGCAGATGGGGCCTATGTGGTGCCGGTCCTGTCCTGGACGCCAATTGAGGCAGCCTACGCTTCCAAAGAACACGGGGGCAGCAGGGGCAAGGCGATGCCCACAGCAGCCACCTGTCAACCGGGGACAAGTGGAGACATTGCCACCAGCCCCGCCTCCTGTGGCCTGGGAGGGGGTTTCTTGGGCAAACCACAGGGTGGGTGTCGGGTCCTGGAGCTCGGACAGCAGGCGCCTGGCACCACCTGCCCACTCACAGACCTCTCTCCACGCTGGGAGGTTCTAAGACCGCTCCTGCACCCACAGGGTTCTGGGCTCCGCCCGGGCAAGGGCCTGGGCTGTGGGACCCAGGTGGACACGAGGCTCCACGTACAGATGCAGCCGAGCGTGAAGGATTAGGCCACCGAGAGGCCGAGGACACACTCGGGAGTCCCTGGCAGCCCCCAGCCTGCCGGACGCAGAGCTGTGCTGAGCCCATAGCGAGAGCTGGACTCAGCAGAGCATGAGAACGCAGGGTCCCAAACCTGGTATGGTGGTGCACACCTGTCATCCTAGCTCCTTGGGAGACTGAGGCAGGAGAATGGCTTGAGCTCATGAGTCTGAGGCTGCAGTGAGCCTCAGTGGGACCGCAAGGTGGGGGCCCCTGTGGAGGGCTGCCGGGGGCATCCAGGCCCGCCCCGTGCGCCCGTCTGCTGTGGGTCGAACTGTGAACTTCGGAGAGAGGCTGACGGCTTGAGCCCGGCGCCTGTGCGCAGAACCTTCTTTAAAAGCAGTCTCTGCAGGGCCACCGAGTTGCCATGAGGCCAGCTGCAGTAGGGTGTGCCCTAGTCCAGGGACTGTGTCCTTCCACGGAAAGGGACATTCAGACGCAGACACAGGGAAGAGGCCCGCGTGGAGGCAGATGCAGACATCGGGTGATGGGGAGGCCAGAACGTTCCGCCCTGGAGCCTCCAGAGGGAGCACACCTGCCCACACCTGGCTTTGGGGTTGCTGGCCTCCCAGACTTGGGGCAGTTCTGTGGCGTCGTGCTGCCCGCTTTGAGGCACTTTGGGACTGCAGCCACAGAAGTGGACCCAGGGCCCCGGCACACCCTGGCCTGACTGAGGCTGGGAACCACATCTGGGCTCCGGGCGTGGGGTCTCCGGCCCAGCCTGCAGGGGTTCTGGCCCGAGTGTCCACCTGTCTGGGCACAGGGGTCCAAGGGGAAACTCCAGCAGAGGCCGCCTGGGTGCCCGGGGGGTGGCACAACCCAGACGCTGTCCACGCTCCGGTCGGGCGTCTCCAGGCCGCCGCACGCCTGAAGAGCCAGCCCCAAGACCCCATACCAGGCTGCTCAGGCTGCGGGAGACAAGCCGGGCCCCTCCCGGCCAGGACAAGCACATCACAGGGACCGGCCCCTCGCTTCCGTCTCCACCTGCCTGCCCTGTGCCCTGGGGAGGCCGAGGCACCAGGAGACCCCGGAGTCTCCCGC